GGGAACCTCCAGAATAAATCATTAACTTTTATGGGATAATAAATGGATCCCATTAAATTCTCATTCTCCCAGTGCTGGGCCAGCTTAACCTCAGGAACCCAGAGGAGTGGGCTCCTGGCCCGCTGTATCCCTCCAGCTCCCCTGTACCCACGTGCTGTCACCCCCTCCCCCCACGCTGAGAGTTGGTGCTGCCTTGAGATGGGGATCAGGCCCAAACACACCCAGAACTTTGGGGCCCCTCCCTCTACTGTCCTTGTGCCCAACTCCCTGGAGGGAGAATGCCTGGCACCTCCTCAGGGCCTGCAAGAGTGACAGGCAGCCCCACCCACCTGTGTGCAGCGATGGCGGATGGGTTGGGTGCAGCTTTGTCTGTCAGTAGATGAATCCTCCCTAAATCCAGTATGTCTTCACTCCACAGGTGAGAGGAGACAGGCTCAAAGGGCAGCCCCCTGCCAGGTCACACACGTGGGGTGGCATAGATTTGGGATTGAATCCAAGCTTTGTGCTGAATGATACAGAAACAATAGCACTGAGGGGACAGGCCAGCTGGTCCAGAGGTGGCACCATTGCCGGTACAGCAGGGGCACTGCATAATGACTCCAGCTCAACTGCACACCAGCACTGTGACCCTGGGCAGATCCCTGGGCCTCACTGAGCCTCAATTTCCCATCTATACGCGGGACCGGAACACCTACTGGCTGGACGCTAGAAGAAGAGGCCCGTCCTCACGGCTTCCTCCAAACACAGGCCGGCCCTGCCCCACCTATCCAGATCTGGGGGGGGTGGGCACGTGGGCCCTCTTCTCTGCCTTCACCCCGCTGGGCCCTGGCAAGGGGAAGGCAGGGCCGTCCCTGGGAGTCCCAGGCTGGGGCTGGGGGGAGGGGCCTCCAATCCCAAGAGGGCCACAGGGGCGGCGCAGGCCGAGGCGGGAGCGGGAGCGAATCCACCGGGGAGGCATGCTGAATGGCTCATTAGTGCCGATGAAAGCTTTTTTCATTTCGTCTAAATACTTTAAACAGGGCTCCCTCCGATGTCTATTTGCATAGCTTAAGAGCTAATGCGGGGGCCCGGGCGGCGGGCCACGCCGGCTGGGCTGCGGAGCTCCCGGCCGCCTCCGCCGAGGCTGGCGAGGGAGGTGGCCCACCTGGCGGAGGGGAGGGGGAGGAGGAGGGAGGGAGCGGCTCAGCACGGAAAAGAACCTCGCGGTGTTCTGGCGCCGCGCCTGTGTCCCCCACGGACTTGCAGGGCCTTGAAGGTGGCCGCCCTGTGTATGCATAGTACCGTGTTAGCCTTGTTTTATGGATGAGGACTCTGACGTCCTCAGGGTCACACACACTGCCACCCAACCGGGATAGGCCCCCCAAAGAAGAGACCCCCACACACCAGCCCCTCCTGCCCTCTGGGCCTGCCTGAGCGTGGCCCTGACAGGGGCTGTCGCTCCCTCAGCCTCAGGACGCTGCTATTGAGCCTCAGGATTCCCACAAAACCCCTCCTAAGTGGCCTCTTTACAGCTGACTAGGCCAAGGCTCTGAAAGGCCGCTTGGTGGGGGGGCTTGTGTACATGACTTTTAAGTGGTAGAACTGACACTTGAACCCAGCCCTGTGTGACTCAGTGCCCTTGCCCTGTGGAGAGTGCTGCTGGGTCCCCGGTTGGGGTTGCAGGCTCATGCCTGGGCTTCTGGCAGGGCGTGGGGCTCCCTGGATGCCAGCCAGAAGGCTTCCCCAGGGCCTGGTTCAGCTCAGGCTCAACCCAAGGCCTGGTGCCAAAAGGTCTGGCCTCAGCTCCACTTCCAACCGCATGAGACCTTGGACGAGTCCATTCCTCTCTCTGGGCCTCAGTTTCCTCAACTGGCTAGAGTGTTCTCTGCTGAGTAGCTCCAGTCTCTGCCACGAGGCAGGCTGGTGTCTAGAAAGACTTTAGGCTTTGAAGCCAGATCAACATAGGTTTAAATTCCAGCTCCTCCACTGTGAGACTGGGCAAGTCCTCATCTCACCCTGCTAGACTTCAGGTTGTTTGTAAAGTAGGAATTAGATTCCCACCTCACAGAGTCACAGTGTCAGATCATACAGAAGGGCCTGACACCGGTGCCTGATTAGGTGTCTGGGCCCAGCCCCTGACTTTCTCCTGCTGTCCTGTCCCTGTGTCACACTCTCCCCCTTTGCCAGTCCTTGCACCCCTGAACTAACTCAATCAGCCCAGGCAGAGAGACGCTCCATCTCCTGGGAACCTAAGGGGCAGGTCCCAGAGCCTCAGGCCTCCAACAGAATCAACCAGGGTGTCTGGAGATGCCCCTTCCCCAGAAATGGCTTGTCTCCTAGAGATTATCTTACCCTGTCTGCCAGTGGGGAGCACCCTCTGGGACCAAGTGTCAGCTGATTTTGGAATCAATTTGTTCGTTTGATATGCTATCTCGATCCCATTTAACCAAGTGCTCGGTCCCCCCAGATAACACAATCAGTGCAATCGACAGTGACGGGAGGTGCCCATTAGCTCTGCTCCATTGCCCAGCACCCACCTGGCAGCCAGGCGGAAGACGTGTGCCCTCTGTGGTCATTTCCCAAGTCAGAGGCTCTCTGGTGCGCTCCCTCTGCCAGTGAAGAGTCCCAAAGGTACCCAACCTAAGAGCCAAGGGCCACATCTCTTGTTGGGCAATCTTGGAAGGGGACTCATGAGCAATGCCCATCTCCAGGGGACTCCAGTATGTGTGAAGAGAAAGTCTCCTCTTCCCCATGCCATGCTAAGATCAGTCTCAGCTCGCCTGGCAAAGGCTGTGTGACATCTGGGGGGTGGGCAAAGTGAGTAGCCCAGTCCGGGCATGTCACAAGCACTGCCTGGCCCCTCCGTTGCTGATTCAGATGAAAGACACAGGGCACTGGTGGACCATCTGCTCTGGGGGTATGGGCCTGGCTGGGCATCTAGTTTGGACACTGTGTTGTCAGCGTCTGGCACGAAATGCCAGAGCACAGATGGGCTGCTCCAGTGGGCATCTCAGGAGATAGCAGTTGGTCCCGGTTTCTCAGGGCTTTGGGATACCAAGGCCCCTCTGACCCAGAGGAATGGAAAGCCCTCCAACCTGTACCTGCCTCCCGCACCCCAATTTCCTCCCTCCTCCCATTTGTCTAACACATCAGAGATGCTGTGGTCTCCTGAACAGAACGTAGGCCATCTGCCGCTTCCTCACGCCTGCCAATCCATGGGGTGGGTGTGAGCCTGTGGAATGACAGCCCCACCACCAGACGTGCGGAGGAAGCGACCTTCTCCTTGCAAACTCTGTTATCTCGCCCTGGCTATGTTTCCCTTCAAGTCCTCATGCAGCCATTTTGAGAGCTGTAAGGATCTCAAAATATCCTCTCAGCCTTCTCAGAGCTGGCAAAACTGTGTATGAGCTGAATCTGGAGCCAGCATCCATTAACCTTTTCTTGGTGGTTAAAGATCTGGGGAGCCTAGGTGGCCACAAGCAGAAATATGCATCATATCTCCAGCTATGTGGTTGAATAAGTGAACATAATCAATAGCACAGCAGTCTGTACCCAGAGATAACAAATAATTTCCATTTTCCATAGCCTAGCTAATTGATTAGTACTGGCTGCCTGGATAACTGTGTTGAGAAGGATTCTGAAGTCTCATATGGCTTTAGCAAGAAATAACCAAAATTGATTAGCAATGTCTGCCATGAATTGGAAGGTAGGTGGGTAGCATGCCAGATGTCCAATTTTAGACCCTATTTTAGACCCTGCCCTAGATGGAACCTGACCAGTATCACAAGAAAGAAAAAAGGAACTCAGAGGAAAATATCAAATAGGGAAGAGAAGTAATATTATCTCAGTCAATCCTAAAAAAAAGAAATCTAATTTTACAGATGAGAAAAACCAAGGTTTGTAGAGTTTAGATTATTAGCCTGAGGTCACATAGCCCCAGAGTGATGGATCTGGGAAATTTTTTTTTTTTTTTTTGAGAAGGGGGTCTCACTCTGTCACCTAGGCTGGAGTGCAGTGGCACAATCGTAGCTCACTGCAGCCTCAAACTCATGGGCTCAAGGGTCCTCCCACATCAGCCTTCGGAGTAGCTAGGACTATAGGCACACACCACCATGCCTGGCTAATTGGTTTTTAAATTTTCTCTAGAGGCAGGGCTCTTGCTATGTTGCCCAGGCTAGTTTTGAACTCCTGGCCTCAAGCTATCCTCCTACCTCAGCCTCCCAAGGTTTTGGCATTATAGGTATGAGCTACCGTGCCCAGCCAGATCTGGGATTTGAAGCCCCATCTGCCTAGCTCCAGAGCTTAGCTCTTCCCACTCTGCTCACATTACTGCTCTAGAAGAACCACAAAAATAGGAAAGGGGATGAAGTAAATGATTTTCTGAGAAGCGAGAGAAATGGGATCTAATGGGACCCTAACAAAGAAACCATGCACCCAAGAGGAAATCTAAAATAAAATCCCAAATATGTGACATACTTCCTGAGGCTAATGACCAGCAATTTCACTGAGAACAGGAAATGAATGCCCCATAATGTCAGGCAGAAAAGTCACTTTGGTGGGAGATAGCACTCATGCTAAGGTTCTCATCTCTGTTTTTCAACGTGTGACTTTCGGCAAGTCACTTTCTTTCTCTGGCCAATTTCCTCATTAATAAAATAAGGCCTTTGCACTAGGGGGATAGCAACTATTTATTTGTCATGATGGCAGTCTGAGGTATCAGGCATGACTGTCTGGAGAAGGATTCTGAGGCGAATGTGAGAAGAGCAGGAAATAGTGCAATGATTGACTAGTAATGTCTGCCTCTGATGCTGGAGTAGAAAAAATCTCTCACATGCCCCATCCTGCAGTATGTGATATCATCTCATTTCCACCTCTAAAATTCGATAGCCCCCTGGTTCTCAACAGTGAGCATTCTTCAATGCTTTGTTAAAAGAGATCTGGGTCTTTTAGTGCTTGGGCTGGGAGTGATGCTGCTTGCTTGGCACAGGGGAAGAACCTTTGATCATCTGTTGTTATTTCAGGACTCTCCTCGGAGGCCCCAACTGTGGGGGAAGGGCAAGTCCCAGGCATCGAGGAGGCAAATGGGGAGCTGACAGCAGCCCCCACACCTGAGCAGCCAGAACGAGGTGTCCACTTCGTCACAACGGCCCCCACCCTGAAGCTGCTCAACCACCACCCACTGCTTGAGGAATTCCTACAAGAGGGGCTGGAGAGGGGAGAGGAGGCGCTGAGGCCAGCACTGCCCTTCCAGCCTGACCCACCTACAGCTTTCACGCCAAGTCCCCTCCCCCGCCTGGCCAACCAGGACAGCCGCCCTGTCTTCACCAGCCCGACTCCGGCCATGGCTGCAGCTCCCACTCAGCCCCAGTCCAGGGAAGGACCCTGGAGCCTGGAGTCAGAGCCCCCTGCGCTTCATATCACAGCTCCCCTACCTCCAGGGCCCAGCCTGGCAGTGCCCACCCTGGGCCCAGGGGAGAGGCCCAGTTCTACACCCCCCAGCAGAGCCTGGACTCCAACCCAAGAGGGTCCCGGAGACCTGGGCAGGCCATGGGCTCCAGAGGTTGTGTCCCAGACCACAGGGCTTGGGATGGAGGGGATCATTGCCACCTCCACAGCTTCAGGGGACGACGAGGAGACCACCACCACCACCACCATCGTCACCACCACCATCACCACAGTCCGGCCACCAGGTGAGCTACCTGCTCATTTACAGATCTGGAAATGGGGTGAGGGGAACTGCAGGGCCCCTAAATGTCTCTGTCTCTGATCCCATACCAGCCTGTCCTGCCCTTTAGCACCAAGAGCCGGCCTGCCAGAGACATGTAGATTGGAACCAGATAGATCTGGGTTCAAATCCTGATTCTTCTGACTATAACATGACCCTAGGAATGTCATTTAAAGTCTCATCTCTGAGCCTCATCTGCAAAATGGAAATAAGAAAACGTGCCTCATTGAGCCACTGTGAGAACTGAAATAAGACTGCACATAGTAGGTGCTCAATAAAAGGTAGTCCTTTCTTTCAACAGATGTGGGCTTTACCACCCACCACCCACACACACGGTTTAGCCTTAGATGGACCCACTGCATCAGAGCTGGGCTTAGCCTTCTGTCTCCTCCTGTCTCCCAGGCCCTTGTAGCTGGAATTTCTCAGGCCCAGAGGGCTCTCTGGACTCCCCCACGGCCCCCAGCTCACCTCTTGATGTCGGCCTGGACTGTTTCTACTACATCTCGGTCTACCCTGGCTATGGCGTGGAAATCAAGGTGAGTGACCTGGATGTGGCAAGAGCAAAGCCAGTGTGAGTACATGTCCTTTCCCCAGGAGGCCACCTGCTGTGACAGAGGTGGGGATGCTTAGGGGTGGCAGTTAGGGGTTGCTACGGCCAGGGCTGAGAGATGAGGCTAAAACATGGTTGGATTCTGTCTTGTGCGCCAGGGAGTGGGGAGGGCTACTGTTCCCACCCAGCCATGCCCTAGGCTGAGAGGGGCAGTGCTTCCCCCAGGGCTTTGATCAGGGGCTTAGCAGAGCCTGAGGAGGTGGCTCAAGCCGTGGATGGGCAGGGGACTGGGCAAACTCTACTTCTGAATCTATGTGGCTGAGTGGAGAGAACACAGAGCTGCCCGATTCGGTCTGAGGGAGCCATGGAGCTTCATTCGCTCATTTATTCATTCATTCACTCCTTCAGCACATACTCCCCCAGCAGCTCCTCTGGGCCCGGCCCTGTGCTGCTCCCGGGATGTGGAGGTGGGGAGGACAGACCTGGCTGCCCCATCAGGGAGGTGACCAGCTGGGGTGGGAGTCAGACCTACAGCCCCAGCCTCCTGTCCCCAGCCTCCCTGGGCTGTCTCATCCCTCCCTTGGGATTAAGACTTTCTCTTAATCCTAAAGCCTGAGACCACAGGTCCTCACACATGCCCCACAGGCTCCTCAACCTCCACAAACCCACATCTTCCTTTTGTTTCCCCAAATCTGCTTGCCACTCCACTCCTGTCAGGTCAGATGTGCAATGTGGATGGCGTCCCCTCTGCCCTTCCTCTCCTTCTTCCCCGTCCCATCAACTCATCTCCAAGTTCTGTCACCGTGACACTCCCCCAAACTCTCAAATCTGCCTGCTTCTCTCCCTCCATCCCCACAAGCACAGTGGTCCAGCCCATCACCCCTCTCCGCTTCCTCACCCGCAGTGGCTGCCTAGCTGGTCTCCCCACCCATGCTTGCTCCCTGCTACCCCCTCCACCTCCACTGCAGTCATTTTCCTCTCATGGAATCAGTCCTGCCCCCCAACAACTCCCCAGGGGTCCCTGAATCAAGGGTCCATGTTCAGCCACATCTGCCCTTGTTCTTGTCTCCCCTTTGCACTGAACAGCTGGCAGGTAACTGGATGGGCCGAGCCCTCTTTCCTCATGACCCCCAGTTGCACATGCTGGTCCCTCTGTCTGCAAGAATTGTCCCACCACCCCCTTCCTTAGGACTCATCCATGGCATTACCTTCTCTGAGAATTATTTCCTGATCCCCAAAGACTAGAGCTCCCCACCTTAGCTCTTCACCTGGCCCCTCTACTTTTATTTTTTTGAGACAGACTCTTGCTTTGTTGCCCAGGCTAGAGTGAGTGCCGTGGCATCAGCCTAGCTCACAGCAACCTCAAAGTCCTGGGCTCAAGCAATCCTCCTGCCTCAGCCTCCCGAGTAGCTGGGCCTACAGGCATGTGCCACCATGCCCAGCCAATTTTTTCTATATATTTTTAGTTGTCCAGCTAATTTTCTTTCTATTTTTAGTAGAGACAGGGTCTCACTCTTGCTCAGGCTGGTCTCAAACTCCTGAGCTCAAATGATCCACCCGCCTTGGCCTCCCAGAATCAGCCCCTCTATTGATCTTTTCATAGCCATCCACCTCCCCAGCTAGACTGAGCTCCTTGAGGGGTGCCCAGTAGCCTGGGGCCCGGATGTGTACCCCCAGATGGACCCAGTAAATGAGTAGACAAAGGAATGGGGGAAGGAAGGAATGAGGTAACATGTGACTTGGATCCTGGAGACTGATGCAGGTGGGGAGGAGACAGGTTCAGCCCAGCGGAGGGGATCAGGCAGGGGCCTGAGGAGTCTGGGGAGCAGGGCTGCATAGGCTGCCTGCCACCCCCCACCTGTGTCCCCCTATTCCAGTTCCTGTGCCCCTGGATCTGGGCTGGAGCCAGCTACTCCTGTCCTGGGCAGTGCTTCCAGCCCACCCCTCTGGGACCTCAGGTCCAGGTCTCTGAGCCAGGCCCTCCCTGCAGAGGGGGCCCCTCTCCCACCCCTGGTGGGCTCCCCCCCTTCTTTCCACACTGTTTGCTTCTGCTTTGCCAAGCCCGTGCCCCTCACTCAGGGCTGACTGGGAGGATAATTAGGAACAGCCACCCCCCCAACAAGCCATTAGCACTCAGCGCCGCTTAATTAAGGTAATTAATGTAAAATCATCACCTAATGAGAGGTGGCACCGGCTGTGGCTCACTGGGTAGAAGGCGCCAGCTGCAGGTGCAGGGAAGGCGGTGGGAGGGGGCAGATGCCAGAATGGATGCCCCCCTGCAGGCCTGGGTGGCCCCAAGTGCCCCCCCAAGCCTACTGGCCCCACTGAAGCCCACTGGACAAGGCTGGGACCAGCCCTGGTACCCTCCACAATGGGACAAGATACCGGTCAGGCTGCCCCTGCCCTGGTCTAGGCACAAGCCCCGCCCTGGGTGCCCGCCCCTCACACAAGCCCTGTGTCTGTTGTCTGGGGCTGCCACATTTTTTTCATAAGAATGCAAAAGCCGTTACCAGGCAACCTTGAGAGGAAGACCTGCCACAGCCCTGGATTGCTGTCAGGAAATGTGGCAGATTGCTGGCCCCACCCTCCACCTCAGCACCATGGGGGCAGAGTCCTTGGGGACCCTGTTGGCTCTGATGGCCCGAGATAAGAGTTTGAGGCCATGGGGTACGAGGACAGGGTAGCCAGAGCTGGGTCAGCACCCGATTTGGGAAAGAAGCAAGAGACAGGATCAACCGGGACTAAAGTAGGGTTTAAGGGTCTTTTCCTTCCAAGGCCAGTTCCAGCAACCCCCACTCCCGCCCAGGCCTTCTGGCCACACCACACAGGCCACATGGGACATGAAGAATTACTGACACTGTAGACCAATACCCACCACACAGCTGGGGAAACTAAGGCCCAGGCAAGGCAAGGGAATTGCCTGAGGTCACTCAGTTAATCACGAGTGGATTTTGATGAGTGGATTTGTTCTACAAGCATAAATTGAGCACTTACTATATGCCAGGCTCTGTGCTGTGGCACAGAGCTTCACGGGTAACGGGGGAGACAGAGATTATTTGATTTCTTTTTCTTTTTTTTTTTTTTGAGACAGAGTCTCACTTTGTTGCCCAGGCTAGAGTGAGTGCCATGGTGTCAGCCTAGCTCACAGCAACCTCAAACTCCTGGGCTCAGGCAATCTTGCTGCCTCAGCCTCCCCAGTAGCTGGGACTATAGGCATGTGCCACCATGCCCGGCTAATTTTTTCTATATATATTAGTTGGCCAATTAATTTCTTTCTATTTATAGTAGAGACGGAGTCTCGCTCTTCTTGCTCAGGCTGGTTTCGAACTCCTGACCTCGAGCAATCCGCCCACCTCGGCCTCCCAGAGTGCTAGGATTATAGGCGTGAGCCACCGCGCCCGGCCAGGGAGACAGAGATTATAAGCAATGACCACAGAATGTTCCATGCTGGTGGGGATGGGGATAGGAAGCACGGAGCCTGTGGGAATGCCAGGGTGGAGACACCCCACCAGCCTGGGGACCAGGGAAGGCTTCGTGCAGGTGATGACCCTGCTCTGAGGCCTGCAGGATGAGAAGCAGCAGCCAAACCTGGGCTGAGAGGCAGTGAGTGTGGCAGGCCTGGCCCTTGGAGGCCGCCCTGGCTGTTTCAGAAAGGTGACTGTTGCATAGGTGTCGGGTAAGGATAAGGGCTTCTGGATCACACTATTGCCAGTGGCTTGGCCTGAGAGCAGTGCCCTCCTGCCCAGGTGGACAGCTGGGCCAGGGCATGCTGCACACTGGGGGCAGGATGGGTGGGCAGCTAGAAGGTCTAGAATGCTGCCCACGGCTCCTCAGCCTTGGGGAGAGGGGATGCCTTGGCTTCTCCCCACCATGGAGAACTCCCTGCCTGCCCCTCCATGAATCACCAGGATCACTTAGGGTAGACACGAGGAGTGAAGTCTGGCCAGGGGGGAGGAGAGAAGCCAGGGAGGAGAGGACTGTCTCAAGGCCCCACCAGTCATACCCTGAGCAAGTCAGCCAGACGCTACTCTGAGCTCCTATCAGGTGCCTAAAGTCTGGGGCCCTGGGCAAGCCTCGAATTTCCCTTTTTTTGAGGAGCAGCCTTGGGGGTACCAGAATCCCTAAAAGCCCTACTCTCCATAGCCTGGAGCACAGCCCCTCCCAGCCTGCTCCCCCCCCCTTGCCTCCTGCCCCCCTTCATGGTGCAGCAGCTACGTGTGCCCACTGATGCCAAGTGTCTGAGCCACCGTGCAGAGGAAGCCAGGTCAGAGGGGGCTTGCCTGCTTCAGCCGGGGGCCAAGCATTGGGCTAGGCTTTTTCCTGAGATGTCCAGAGAAGCCCCTTCAGTACAGGTGGGCGTGAGCCCCATGGCCCGTTGGGTCCCATCCACTCCCCAGGCAGCCAGTCTTCCCCGAAGGGCCCCAGGCCTTTCTGGGCCTGGCGTCTGCTCTCTCTGCACTTGGCATTGCCAGAGCCCTCCCACTGCCAGCCTCCATCTTGGCTCGGCTGCTCCCTGTACCATCTGGAGCCTGGGCACAGCTGCCCACAGGCCCTGCCCTTGTGCCCCAGGTGCCTCTGCTGGCACACAACTCTCCCGTGCCAGGCCAGCTGTCAGTCTGATAGCCAGAACGCCCTGCCCTTCTAAGCTGGGCCCAGGCCTGATGTGGGCACCAGGAGGGGGTTTTGGGTTGGTGGGGTCGGACTTCTAGACAACTTCCTATGTCCTGGCTCCAGGAAGATCCATTTGAGGGGGGCAGGTCTGGCCTCTCCCCATCCCTTACTGATAAGGTTGTAGGGATGATTCCCAGTTCAGAAGGGCACAGAAGCTGTCGTGTAGGACTAAGGCTCCAGTCCTGGCTCTGTAGTCTTCCTCTCCATGACTGGGGCTAAGCACCTGGCCATCTCTGGGCCTCAGTTTCCCTCTCTGTAAAAGGAAATTGAGCCAAATGATGCACAAGGCCCCTTGAAGCCAGTCCCTCTGAGTGT